GATATGCCAGGGGCGTCGCTGGTGCCCGTATTGTTACCAGCCAGATGCAATTATGCTGATCGAAGCCCCACTAAGCATGTGCAAATGATCGAATGTTGAAGGTCTTATAATGTTTCCAAGCTTAAGGAAGTTTGACAATTGTACACGTACAGGAAGTGGTGTAGAGGAGTGATTAACTACTCGAAGTCTCCGTCCTTATGGAAATAAGTCACGAGTTGGATTTCTAGAGAGCGAAAAGAAATAAGTGAACCCACAGGAAGTCCGATTAGGAGATATTAGAACTCGTAGCTACGACCGACATCCCGTAAACCGCACTTGGGCCTTCCGTATGGTTGGCAGGCCCCTAACCAAGTACACCTGAGGCAGAAATACGCAAGACATGTTTGAACCATCTCGGGCTGTCACTCCTGTGGGAATTGAGTACCTGTACGGCGGAAGGTAACAAAAGATGGTCTGAAGAGTTTGTAATTCATACATTCTCGAAGGCCCATTACTCCGTTTTGAGGCTTTGCATATTTTGAAATGGACACACACTATACTAAGTGTTTTGAAGCCGTTTTCTACCTGTTAGAGCTTACGAATGCTCATTTTACTGCTGCCATTACAGCAGCATAGGCTGAATAACCTTTCTATCTACTCTTGGTCAGTCAGTGGACTTTGGCTGGAAGTGCAACTCAGTTGTGATAGCACTGATTCTTTTTCTGTCGCATCCCACGTACTGTGCCCCGGCCATTATCGAAAAGAATACTCTGGGGACGTTTGCACAGTCCCTCGGCTTGTCATTGGGCTCGAAACTTAGGCCTTAACTAGGCTGACAGCTGTTTCGGCTCCCGTGACTGGAGAACCGACGTGCTGTCGGCCAATCGCCGCCCAACAAGTGGAGTCTCGGCTCTGTTCCGTCCTGCGGCGTGAATCATGCACAGCCTATGCCGCCTTGATGACAGGCCTATTGAATGCAGAAAAATGAGTCATTTGTCGAATGTGCGCTCGTAGAAACCACGTCTCCTTTGCACGGAGCTATGGAATTCTTGGTTGTGTTTGTTCTGCACAAGTTGAGGTCACTGTCTGTCCTGACAGGCTCTAACACCACCCGGACGAATGGAAGATATTTTTCAGGCTACTCAAGCTCTGTCTAGGTTAGAAAATTACAAGTCATAAAATTCCTCGAGTAATGGGATAAATGAGATGCTCACTACGAAAAACGCAACACGTCTTACAGTCCATCCTACGCAAAGAAGCAGATAGTAGAACCAAGCCGTTTAAGTCTTTACTCAGCAGCCCATGTATATGGGAGCAACATTGGCGCGTACAGAAGTACAAGGGACAGCTAAAATAAGTGAAAATAACTATAGAATAGCTTAGATATGTACTGCGAAAAAAGAAATCCGTGAATATTGAACCACGAGCAGGCGGGATCGATTGTACTAAGAGTATGCAGAGGGGTGCGCACTCCATCCATCAGTCTCAACAAAACGGTGGGCACCATGATCGTACGATATGAATATCTTGCCTTGTTTAATTTCCGAGGAAATTAATGCGCGAACTTGAAGTAAATCTTTCGAAACGGGCCTTTTCAGACACGCTCGAAAGTTTGATATGAATATTTGAGCTGAAATCCATCAGCTACTGCGGAATAACCGCTTCATATTCGCAAACCGCCAACAGGCAGCCAGTAGTATAGAAATGTGCAATGATTTACCGTACTAACAACACAGGTATTAGCTAAAAGCCCAGACACGCGTGTTTCACCGATCTTATGCCGCTGCCTGACGCAGCTGCGAGGGGTTCGGCTCGTCAGTGGGTCCCCCAGCTTTCCCCGTGTGCTTTCTGGTATATGAACTCCAGTTTCAACTTGCCTTGTTTAATTTCCGACTGAACTCAAGACGGTGTTGATCATTAACTATGCCATGAATTGACGACAATTTAATTCAAAATGTCAGTTTCTCCGTCTCTTTCAAGTGTGAGTTGCTAATGACAACCTGCGGGGGCCTTTATCCTGGCCGCGTTGTTGATAGGGCCTGCGCCACTGAGGTGACATGATGATAGTCGTTATGTTGACGCCTTTGTTCACATTCTTCGCATCAGGTAACTCCGTCCCCAGGAACAGCTTGAAATATTTAAGGGTAATAAAGACGGTAAAGCACATATTCAACAAATTTTGGATAGGGATTCCCCATCCCGTCATCGGACGCACGGTAAACACACAAAAGCAGTTAACTACTCATCGCTTCTAGCAGAAACTTTATGCGATCGGCTACTAATAGCTCTAGTGACAGTTCGTCGATTCCGACGATGTCCACAGCAGAGTGGGCACAGGGAGGTGAATTGGGTCTGAAGCAGTTTATAGTGATAGCATGTTTCACAGCATCTACCGGACTCTCCTCCTTTGCCCTCCTGGGCCCAGTGTTAAGACAGAGTCAAGAAGACCGAAGGCGGGAGAGGGCGCAGCGGCTGACCGATGAAGTGTGGGGCCTCCACTAGGCTCCTAAACTTTCATTTTCGTCGAAGTGACTGAATAGTTTTCAGACTTAGTTGCGTTGGTCCAGGAACGAACCTTGCTGTTTACCTACCGAAAGGGACGTTTCGGTTTCCGTGTTATCGGTATGCCCCTTCTATCTGTATTCTGAACTACGGTAATTGCCTTTATAAGTGTGTTGACAAAAATACCAATTTGATCATCGGGACAACCTAAAAAAACAGTTTCTTTCCATTGTCGTTCAACTTTTTTAAAGTCATCAGGACGTGACCTACGTTTCTCCCGGCGAATGCGAACCTCCCTGACCACCATTAATTGCGATGTGTTTAAACAGACTGATCGAAATAAACAACGTTTTCCTCTTTTAGTAACTCAGGAGGAGATCCCAGCGGTGATACCCTCACTTGTAGAAAACTTGGAGACTGACATCCAGTGTCTCGCAACTGAGGATTCTCTAGACAGGTAAAACCCTTGTCATAACCACTGTAATAATTGTGCAGACTTTTAGAGCGAACTTTCAAAAGCGGAGCTGAGACGTTGCACTTTTCGGATCTCTTGCCTCCATCTGTGTCAAGGAAGCTCGCTGCAAAGGCGCTGCACCACCTGCTGTGTAAGGCAACCCCCTCTTTCTTACAGCAGTTCTCCGAGCTCGCACTTTGCCAGTCTCTTTCGTGTCCCCGAGAGCCTCGGCCCTAAACGTCGCTTTGACCTCTGCGGGAGCCCAGTCCCATCCGATTTCGAAGGATCGAGTTAACTTTATTCATTCCACCGCGTTTTTAATTAATTCCAGTCTCTTCACTTACGCGCTGGCTTTTCATTAGAGACGAGTTTAAACAAGTTTATTTTTGGCAAAAACCAGGAACAGGCTGTGCCTGGAACATGAAGCATCGTTTTTATTTTAGCAGAGACGTTACTAATATGTCCTGACTAAGGTCAGAACCGCGTGTAGAGGAGCTTAGTATTTACTCTACGAGAAAAGTTGATGACAATTTGCTACCCCAATCGGCTAAAACAACGCTCATTGCTATTTTTAGGTCTCCTCAAGAAACGAAAAATCCGGGTGTCACAATCTACACCCTTCGGACCTATCATTGTGTCTTCGAGAACTTAACTCGTTATATTCATCCCGAACAGCCCACCCATTTGTTGTAGATGCTATCATTTTTTTTACCTTTTTACAAGTTTTTTTACGTTGCAAATATCACTGAATACGTTTCTTATCAGCATTTCACTATTTTTTCTTATATTCGGCTGCACATTGTCACCGGCCAACACGTTTAAATCACGAGTACGCTGGATCAACATATGCACATGCTTATCGCCAAGGTCTTAGAAGTTCTTCTGGATGCCTCTCTCGAGTATTTCCGTTGTAGGTCCTTGTAAGTTGCAATGGCAATTTTCGAAGCCGTACACTTCGCTCTAAATTACTGAGAACTTCTGGAACAAATATGTGCAAGTAGTGTGGGTTTCCGGTTGGCCATCGGGTCATACGCTAGCTGTCTCAAGCAACAGACGATCATGGATATGGTACGTCCTTTGAGACTGAGGTAATGGAATTGTAAAAAGTTGGACTGTAAATACACCGATGATCGGAATATGCTTCCCACACCTATTCTTGAGGGTTTAGGTGATGACTATGAATTTATATTACGAGGGCTTAGTAATTGAACTGGGGACTACCTATACTTTCACTCCCCTCTTGCATAGACGTGTGGCTGACCTTATGTGCTTGGAATATTCTTGTGGACCCAGTACCGGGAAAGGCGCAAAAATATTGCGCTTACCTTAAAAGTATTGGTGTAACCGTCCACGTGCTGTTAATACCGCACCAAGTACGATTTATTGACATGCATCTTAGCAAGTTTCTGGGCGGCTGGTTCCATGTTATCAAGAAACGCCAGGAAGGTCTTAAACTGTACAAACTGACTTGAAGTGCTTAAACTGGTTGTCTGTAGGAGTTCGCGTATAAGGGTATTTGCATCGGCTACCACAAACCCTGGTTTAGCGAGTCCGGGGTTGGCGGCATCAGGAACCAGGGCTACCTGTGTCCAAGATCGTTGTCTAGGTCGTCAGCTCGCCCTGTCTCGTTAGCATTCCTCTCCCGAAGACCGCCGAACACACCACCCCCTCCAGTCCTGACTCAAAAACGTCTGTGCACCTGTTGGGTTGGCCACCTCAGAGGTGACGGCAACCCCGATGGGCGTTTGGGAAGATGAAGCTGCAGTCGAACTCCCCTTTAGATCGACGAAGCGTGTTACAAGACCACCTGGAGCGGCCGCGCTGTATTTCACCACAAGCAGGCGGTGTCTGCGATTAGTGACTGAGTCTACCTTTCGGGCGTAGTTCATGATCAGAGTTATTGCGTCACCGGTTCCAGAAGCCTCGGTCTTCCTTAGGTTGGCAGTGCGTAGAGTGGGATGGATTTGCCGATGATCCACGCAGTCGAACCCATCTTCACGTGTTGACCTCGGCGAGATCTCAGGCACTTACAGAGTAATCGGACATATTGTGCCTTAATTCTTGCGCGACAATCCGCCTCCTGACCTTTATCCGTCGGTAAAACAGGCAGACCAAGAGCTTGATCGCCTCAACCTCGCCATTCGGGAGGAGTGGTACACTGTATTTTAAAGCAGTCGAGCAGCGCTTTGCCTCTTCCAGCCTAGTGTGCAGAATTGAATATCCATTATTCTAAGAAAAGTTGCATTTCATTGGAAGGATTCCTGAGAATGGCGATGCCATCGGCGTAACGGATGCACGAAAGTGGCTCTTGCCCTATTTGGTCGTCCTCGTTGATTATCTTTGGTAGGATCGAACTTTTCGTCTATCTGAAGAACGGGGGGGGGGGGAAGACAGCATTCCCTTGAGCGCCGGCGCTCACGAAGACGTACTCGCCCTTTCCGTCATTTTTTCGAATCCGTCTTATGATCTAGTAGTATGTATCGATCATACTCTCCATGGCCTTCAGGGGAGGACTTATGTTGACTGACTCAATAGTTTCGCGCATGCAGGGGAACAGGCAGTGCCATTATGCTAAAATCCGTTGCAGGGCAAATGCCTGGCTGACGGCCCCTGACAGAAAGACTGCCCATTCCTCATCCGCGTGCCCCTGGTCGAGCAAAAGCGCTTCAAGCGGGTACGCGCCACGATTTGAGGCATTTCCCCATATCTCCTTTTTTTAAGGTAGAAAGTAAGACGTCCCAGTTCGTAGAACCGCGAGAGTATCACAATCGTGGAAGTATTCTAACAGCTTGGTAATCGGTGTCTCAGTCGCCTCAAGGGGAGGCTTGCCTTCGTTCTGATTGTTTGACTGACAGCGTAATCGAAGTTCGGTGAACGACGTAGAATGTGATAGAACTTTTGGGTAAGACAAAAGGCGATTGGTCGAGTACTGGAGGAATTTTTTTATCTGAACTTTCGGGCCCATGTTTGAATTCATCGTCAGGGCTGAGAGCAGCAGCGGAACAAGCGAGTTCCAGGGTACTCCTGTTGAGATACGAAAGTCGAGAACGAGGATTCCCAAATAAAGCGTCAGACAGGCAGTTAGCAAGACGGTCGCTACTACCGCAGAGAACGTGCAAACAGCTCAGAGGTGGACTGCAGCACTAAGTCCTATTACACCGACGGTTTCCAGCATGAGTTGTAGGCGTGCACCTGGGTCATGTTCAGCGGCGGTTAGTCAGTGAGAACCAAGACATCGATCGGTGTCATGGTGCCGCCAAGCCGAAGGGGC